CTGAAACAGACCCCCCCCCGGGCCTCACACCAGTCCCGCGGGTTCCTGGGGTTTCTGGGCAGGGCTCCTGCTGCCATCCCCCGGGAGCCACCAGGCCCTCTCGTGCTTCGCCATTAGCTGGAGTGATGAGCAGGCAGCCCCCGGCAACGGGGACATTTTCTGCTTTTTCCACTGCTGCGTGGCCTGGAAGTGCTCGTGGGCAGCCGGGAGGTGGCTGAGGGGGCCGGGGAGGCTTTGCCAGCCCCCCCCCCAGCGTCACTGCCCTATTTCGGAGCCTCCCAGCCCGGTGGCCTCATTCTCTCTGATTTCATCTGACGCCAAAGCCAGGCCTGGCTCCTGCTTGTTTGTATCAGGAGGGCTCCAGCAGCAAAGAGCACAATAATTTTCTTGCTTCTCTGCCAGTGTCTGCAGCAACCAGGGGAAAAAAAAAAACAACACCAACCAACAAAACCTTTAAAGGGACTTTCTGACCTCAGTGAAGCAACTCGCCTTTCTTCCAGCCCTGGGGCTGCTGCTTTTGTCCAACAGTTCAAGGACTCAGACCCGTCCAGCACCGACCCACGGTGTCCTGCTCCGGGACACCCTCCGGGCTCTGGGGGGGGCTGGGCAGCACCCGGCCCCGGCCCCCCGGGGCTCCGGTTGGGGTTTCCTGAGGATGCCCAGGGCAGCGGGAGCCGAGCTCAGGTGCAGGCTCACCGTGACGCCCGGGCTCTGTCCCCGCGGCGCCGGTATCCGGGGGGTCTTTGCAGCCCGGACACGCCTGGCTCAGCTTCCCGAGGAGCCTCCTCGGCCTGGGGGAAGGCGCCCGTGCTCGGGCCGGCACAGACGGTGCCCTGCTCGGTGCGGCCTCTCTCCTGATAACATCCCAAACAGAGTTAGGGTTTGTGATACAATAGGAACAGTTAGTACTGAAAAAGAATAATTCCTAGGAAATATTCCAGGAGGCATGAGAAAGACAGACTGGGGTAAAGAAAGAAAAAAAAATAAAATAAATCAGAAACACCAGAGTATGCACAGACAAAAAGATCATGTCAATCAGCTAGCTATACAGTTTCTACACAGAAAAAATTGCTCTTGATTGCTTTCCTGTGGTTGTATGCACTAATTAAATGTGACTTTTAATTCCTTTCAGTCAACTACTTCTAGTCCTACATTCAACCCATCATCCCATTTTAAATTTTAACTCACTTTATTTAATATAACTTGTTTCATATATCTCAATTAAAAATGCTATCCTATTTTAGTAGGGGCTGAATGGGGAAATCACAGATGACAAGGTAAGGAAGAAAGCCCTGCTTCCAGTGAACCCCATATCCACTGGTAAATCTTTACACAGCTTTATTTTGTCTCAGCCTCTTTTCTGTTGGCTTTTCTACGAGCAGATAATGACACTTATTTTCAATTATGACAGCCTATGTGGACTTTAATTTATTTCCTTGCACTGCCTAGAATATAGTTATTTACTTCTGGCTAAAAAATAACTATGCTTGTACTCAGTTAAGGACAACAAAATCACTACATCCTAAAGAAGGGAAAACAGCAAACCTGAATCATAAACTTGACATTACAGCTACAGATTTGCAACATGTGGTAATTTTTCTGTAGGACTCTTGCACATGCTGATCAAAATAATCCATTGAAACAGAAATGTCATGAGTTGAAAGAATGATAGTAAAAAAAAAGCAGCTAAATCCCAGACTTTTTACATGGGTACCTGGCTATTAACAGTTTATCCTTAAAGAGAAAATTTCAGTGTCTGAAAACAAGCACATTTCTGAAACCACATTTATTTTTCCTTAGTGCCTCATGTAGACATAAGCAACCTTTATAACTGGTGTATATGATTTGAACTAACAGAGCCTAACAGAATGCTGCAGGTGCTGCTGAACTACAAACACAGAATCACAGAATGACACAATCTTAGGAGCTGGAAAGGACCTCATAAGATCATCTAGTCCAACCCCTCTGCCAGAGCAGGGTCACCCAGAGCACATCACACAGGAATGTGTCCAAGTGGGTTTGATTGTCTCTAGAGAAGGAGACTCCACAACCTCTCTGGGAAGCCTGTCCCAGGGCTCTGTCACTCTCACAGGAAAGGAGTTTCTTCTGATATTTACATGGAACCTCCTATGTTCCAGTTTGCACCCATTTTCCCCTGTCCTGTCACTGGACATCACTGAAAAAAGCCTGGCTCCATCCTCCTGACACTCACCCTTAACATATTTGTAAACATGGATGAGATCACCCCTCAATGTCCTCTTCTCCGAGCTCAAGAGACCCAGCTCCCTCTGCCTTTCCTCATAAGGGAGATGTTCCACTCTCTTAATAATCTTTGTGGCTCTGTGCTGGACTCTTTCAGGCAGTTCCCTGTCCCCGGGCTGAGGGGCCCCGCGGGAGTACGAGCGTTTGAGGGGCAGGGGCTGGGCAGGAGAGATCCTGGATTCATTTAGATGTCTGGCATAATGAGGTGGTTGATGAATGGAAGAGGGGACATTTGTTGAGCTGTGAACAGGTTAGATGGGTTTTTAGTCTCTTTTCCCAAGTAACAAGTGGCAGGATGAGAGAAAACAGCCTCAAGTTGTGCCAGAAAGGTTAAGATTGGATAACTGGATGCATTTCTTCACCAAAAAGATTGGAACAGGCTGTCTATGGTGGAATCACCATCTCTGGAAGGATTTAAAAGATGTTGGTTTAGTGGTGGATTTGGCAGTGCTTAATGGTTAGTGGTTTGACTTGGTGGTCTTAAAAGTCTTTTCCAGCCAAAACTATTCCATGAGCTTAGACCTGGAACTGCTCGGTAAAGAGATTGACTGTAGGTTTTGCTGCAGTAGTTGGCAGAATCATTGAGCTGCTGGAGAGGGTGGAATGGGGATGGTGAAAGAGAGAGGAGAGGGCTGCTCTCTTCTCAGACTCTGAGGAGGCTGGTGGACCAAGGTGGGTGGTGACAGCTCTGCTCTTAGTCACTGGCTTCCTGCCACCTTGGAGCTTCTCCTTTTCATCATCTCATTTATGTGCAATAAAACTGACTTCCCTTAATGACCTTGTCCCCTCTGCTAGGGGCCTCCCATGTTGGTGCTGTTGATGTGATTTTTAAGCAGACTTAGTCCATCAGTTTTAATAGACTCTGTGAACACAAGCCACGTTTCAGCAGAATAACAGCTCCTGCTGCCTCCTCTCCTGCTTCCCATCCCCTCCAGCTGTGTGAGTGACCAGAAGGGCAGTTATTCTGGCAGAACCCGGGAGGGTGTGACTGGTAAAGGATTGCTCATCACACACCACATCTGTGCATTCCTGTCCCTGGACAGGTCCTGCACAGGGCTCATCTGTCAGCAGTGAGTGCTGGAGGCAGGACACCCACACAGAGACATCTTTGGTCTGGTCTGTTAAATGATTGGCATCTCCAGAGCACAGTGTGGGGATGTTGATCAGCTGGCAGGAAATTAATCTCCTGTCCTAGGTGGAATGCCCATGGATTGGAGGTGTCCCATGCCAAATCCAGTATCCCTTTGGAAGTGGGTTTTGTGCAGCTAGTGGACATGTTTTAAATTTCTGGATACTCTTCAAGCCACTGGAAGCTGCTGAAATTGCTGAAGTTCCAGACATTTCAGGTGGTGGTATTATGCTAGACTGCACTGCCTGGGGAGTTCAGGTTGTGTGGTTTGACACAGGGAGTGGGCCTGGTGGAGCAGCACGAGCTCATCCCACTGGAGCCCATGGGCTTTCCTCCCCTTCCTGCAGTTTGTTTCCGTTGTGAGCTGGTAACTTTGCAGGTGTCCTGCGTAGCAGGAGGGACCTCCTGGGCGAGCAGCAGAGATCTGGCACTCAGAGAAGTGACAGGACAAATGCTGCCTGGGAAGGGCCATGGGAAATCTTTAAAGAAAGGAAGAGGCCCTGAGATGTGGGGCTTTTCAACAGCTGATGTAAGGACTGTGCCTCTCCCACCCTCCTGGGTGGATGGAGTTGGTGATGAGGAGTGAAGTGGCCTTCCCAAACTCCCAGTCTTCTCTGGATGCTGCAGGGAATGGAGTTGTTCCCTTTCCAGGCCCTTGAGGCGAGGATGGAAAGGATAAGTTTGATCAAGATTAGAGAGGACATAATTATATTGAAGTTATTAATTAATATAAACATATTGACTGATTAATACTAATTAATATTAAGGTATTGTAGTGAGAGTACGAGGGGTAATGGATAAAGACTGGAAGAGAGGAGATTTAGGTTGGGCACTAAGAGGAAATTCCTTAGTGTAAGGGTGGTGAGAGCCTGGCCCAGGCTGCCCAGGGAAGCTGTGGCTGCCCCATCCCTGGGGGTGTTGAAGGGCAGGTTGGATGGGGCTTGGAGCAACCTGGGCTGCTGGGAGGTGTCCCTGCCCATGCAGAGGGTTGGATCTAGATGATCTTTAAGGTCCCTTCCAACCCAACCCCATCTGTGATTCTTTGATGAAATGCTGGATAAACCCACTTTTGCAGCCCACTCTGCAGGAGGGGCCGGGCAGGGCTGTGCTCCCTCTGGTCTCTCATGGTTTGGGGTTTGTGTGTTCTCTACTGACCCAGCTCTGTTCTGCAGCGACAGGGGATTGGAGAGCCCAGTGTCTACCACGCCGTGGTGGTGATTTTCCTGGAGTTCTTTGCCTGGGGGCTGCTGACCACACCGATGCTCACAGTGAGTCTCACTGGAGAGGGGAGGGAGCTGAGCACAGGCCCGAGGAGTGTAGGGAGTCCAACACACCAGGGGCCTGCAGCTGGATGGATTTCTGCATGAATTAACTGGAGCTGTAGTAATTTTTTATGGAGTGGGGCAGTTATTACTGTGGTTCCTTAGTTTGGAGCAAAGCATGAGGTAGATTCCTGAAAGATTGTGAAGGATTTCAAGAAAGCAGGACTGAGAGACCTGGCCTGAAATTACTAGAATTTACTGATAGTTTGTTGCCTTTTATTGCTTTTGGGTTTTTTTTTAGATACTAGAAAAAAAAATGCACTTGGGAGCTTAATGAAAGATGAGCAAAGCTGTGACATTTTATCCGCAGTCTGCACTTTGCCCTACACTGAGTTATTTAGGGATAAAAGGGGTTTTAGTTGTGCTTATTTTTTACCTGATCACGAATGGCATCTTTTTCCTAATGAAAAGATATGTAGAAATGTGGTAGGAGCTTGTAGGTGTGAAACACAAAACAGATTAAACAGGGGACAGAAAAATTATGTCGTGACATGAAGTAAAAACAGAGGGAAACTGGATGATGCAGGGATGGAGAAAGGGGTGTTTCAGGTTATCTTAGCCTTGCGCAAGGCTGGAATAATTTATGGACCCAGGGAGTATGAAAGAAAGTGGCTGCTGATGTTGGAGATGGGAAGTGGAGCTCCTCTCCTAGGCACAGCAGTTGTCCACCATGTATTTCCCATGTTCCCTGTTGCATTTTTCCAGGCATCCAGCTGTCAGGTGCTGGCAAAAATTTATGGGAATTTTGCCAGTGTTCCTAACTCTGGTTCTGTTTTGTTTTTTTTCTATCCCTAGGTGTTACACCAGACTTTTCCTCAGCACACTTTTTTGATGAACGGCCTAATTCATGGAGTCAAGGTACAGAGTGTTCATTCCAGGCTTTAATTTGGATCTGGGATCAGTACAAAGGGGCAGCCATCACAATCTGTGTCATTTGCTGCTGTCAACCAGTGTTTGGCAGATAAATGTTCCTGTTTCAGCCTGAGGTACTCGTGGGCACACCTGGTGCAAAATGGAGAGCAGGGTGCAGGAATCAAGTAGCTGGTGAGGTTGGTCTTGTTCAGCAGCACTGACTGTGTGCTGGGACTGCATCAGCTGCAGGTTCAGTTCTGGCCCAGGAACGTGGCAGAACATCCCATCAGGGCCTGCCAGTGTGACCTGGAAGAAGGTTTGCTCTGATGAGCTGGGCCCTTCCTGCCCCTCTCAGGTTTGAAAGACATTAGAAGGCTTTGAACACTCGTGTGTGTGCTTGGTGGCCTTGGCATCTGCTTGGGTCTGCCTTGTCTCCAGCTGTAGCTGACAGAGGGCCTGGGGGACCCAGCTGCAGGAGCAGGGCAGGATTAGGGTGTTCAGCAGCACCCCAAGGGATGAGGATTATTTTCTTTCTCCCTAAAACGATGTGAGCAGTTTGACAAACTGTTTTATTTGGGGAATATTGACTGCTTGTAGAAAATAGGAATGGTTTGTCTCCTCGTATTTTCATCTCTAGGTGATGTTGTCAAAGGCTCTTACTGTCAACAATCAGAATTTGACTGAGGGATCTCTCTGTCATCCTGTCTCTGTCTCAGGGTCTGCTCTCTTTCCTAAGTGCCCCACTGATTGGTGCTCTCTCTGATGTCTGGGGCAGGAAATCCTTCCTCCTCCTCACTGTCTTCTTCACCTGTGCGCCCATTCCCCTTATGAAGATCAGTCCATGGTGAGTTCACTCCTGAGGTAACCGAGGGGCTCTGAGGAGGCAGGAGTGCAAGGCTGAACGATGAGGGATCAGGGTGCTCATTTGGGGGGATGGGAGAGCTTGTCCAGGGGAGAAAGGTGCCCAGCCTAGAGACTGATTGACTTGGCTGGTTCTACTGGAGGGGTCAGTGTCAGGAGGAGAGAGTCTGTCTTTCCTGGTGCCTCTCCTGGTGCATTGTCACTGTTAGGACACGTTAATGTTCCTTTCCTGGGTGGGGAAGGTGAGCTCCCTGGGCCTGAGCTGGGTATTCCCGAGCACCGTTGGTGCAGTGAGGTGGGATGGACTGAGGGAAGGAAACGGAAGAGGTTCTGCTCCTGCAGTGTGGCTGCTCCCTGACTCTGCCCTCGGCTCTGCCTGTTCCAGGTGGTATTTTGCAGTCATTTCCATGTCTGGAGTCTTTGCTGTCACCTTTTCCGTGATTTTTGCCTATGTTGCTGACATCACACAGGAGCATGAGCGCAGCACGGCCTATGGCCTGGTAAGGAGCTGGGTGACTGCCTCACCTCTTGGAGCAAACACCTGGGGCCTGCAGGTATACAGGTGTGGTGGGGGATTTGTAGACAAGCCTGGGGACAGTGTCAGTGACCTGCGTGTCACTAACGGTACGGGGCTCCCTGTTCTTCTGTTTGTGACTTAGCGCCCAGAGAGAGGCCTCGTTTCCCTGTGGTCTGAACACTGGTGTTGTTCCGTAGCCTTTGGACAGCCTGGTCTGTGCTCAGGGAAGGGAACAGGCAGGAACACCCGTGCCTGCCAGGAGCCTGGGATCTGTCCCCTTCCATAGGGTTACTGACAGTACCATGTAGGAGTGGTGAGGACAGCTCTGACCTCCTTGGGCCAGAACTTAGCCTGGAGTGCACCATGAGGACACACCACCTGTCTGTCCTCTGGAGTCCCCATCCACCTGGGCTGTCACCATCAGGGGTTGGCAAAACTGGTGGATCTTTCTGGAGGAGAAAATGAGCACTAGGCAGGGGAGGCTGTGCTCATGGTTTGTGCTTCCAGGTGTCGGCCACCTTTGCTGCCAGTCTGGTCACCAGCCCAGCCATCGGGGCCTACCTCTCCCAGGCCTACGGCGACACGCTGGTGGTGGTGCTGGCATCAGGGGTTGCTTTACTGGATATTGGCTTCATCCTGCTGGCTGTGCCCGAGTCGCTACCGGAGGAGATGCGCCCAGTCTCCTGGGGAGCTCCAATCTCTTGGGAACAAGCTGACCCATTTGCTGTAAGTTACCTGCTGCTGGTTGTCCACCTGCTGCTGTTGATGCTTATATTTGCCTTAGTTCTGCTGATTTCTCTCAAAAAGAAGGTGCATTCCACAGAAGGTGACATTTTAGCATCATCCCTCTGAAATTCTGACCTGGGTTCGTTTGAGCATTTACTTCTGAGATATAAGATGGTGACTTAAGCTCTTGGTTTTGCTGTCTCTGTACCTGGAGACTATTTAATTATATTAACTCCTTTTTTAATTTATTTTTTTTTCATTCCCCACCCCCTTCTCTACAGTCCTTGCGGAAAGTGGGTCAGGATTCTACAGTGCTGCTCATCTGTATCACCGTCTTTCTCTCCTACCTTCCTGAAGCTGGGCAGTACTCCAGCTTTTTCCTGTACCTGCGGCAGGTCAGTCTCTTGCTGTGAGGGCAGGCTCTGGATGTGGGAAGTCCCAGTCTACAAATGTCATCTTCATTGCTTGTCCCAGGGAAGCTAATCTCAGCCAATAGCTCAGTGAAGCTGAAGCTGTAAGAAATCTAGCTTCCCTAGAAACTTGGGAGCCTGGTGACCCTCAGCAGGCATCACTAGGACCCTTGGTGGGCTCCTTGCTGGTGGCACTGCTGCTCCCAGGCAGGTGGGCCCTGTGCTTTTGAGCTGTTTCTTCAACCAGAGGAAAATCTTCCATTTTGCTCCTGTGGCAGCAGGGAAATAGTGGAGGGTGCAGCTGATCAGTGAGTGCCTGATGAGCAATGTCAGTGGACATCGGTGACACTGGTGGGGTGGCTTTTCTTACAAATCTCTTGCCTGAAAAGTCCCTCCTTGGTGTTTTCACAGGTCATTGGTTTCTCCTCAGAGACTGTGGCAGCCTTCATTGGTGTAGTTGGAATTCTCTCTATACTGGCTCAGGTGAGAGGCAACTTCTGTCTTGGCTCTAGTAGGGTGGTTATGAGAATGCCCAACACTCCTAGTGATGGGCTAGGGAGTTGCCAGAATCCCTGTGGCCACACGGGCATCGTCAGGCCTGTGCACGGGTACCTGCAGCTCCCCTTTCTTATCCTTTGAACGTAGCCGTTGGTTGAAAAACTGTTAAACTGTGGGGTGGCCCCACGCAGCTCTGTGAAACCCCACAGGTTGTGCTCTGGTTGCCACAGGCAGGGACGTGCTGGTTCCCAACACTGTTACAGGAAGGCAGGAGTGCATGTGCCTGGTGGCCCGTCCTCCAGTAGCAAATGCTCCTCACCCTCCTGTCCCTTGTCTCCCAGTGTTGTCATCTCTCTTCGCAGTGACTCTGGAAGCTCCTGTTTTTCTTTCCAGACAGTAGTGTTGGGAATTCTTATGCGTTCGATAGGAAATAAAAACACCATCCTGTTGGGACTAGGCTTCCAGATCCTGCAGCTTGCCTGGTATGGCTTTGGATCACAGCCTTGGTAAGAGTTTGTCCAGGTTTGTGCCGTGGCATCAGCATCCCCCTCCAGTGGCTCTGAGTCCCTGCATGGTGCTGGTTTGCAGCCAGCCCCTGGCAGCCCCTCCTGACTGCCCCTTCCCCCCCAGGATGATGTGGGCAGCAGGAGCTGTAGCTGCCATGTCCAGCATCACCTTCCCAGCCATCAGTGCCATGGTGTCGAGGAATGCAGACCCCGACCAGCAGGGTGAGTCCTTGGGACTTTGTCCAGGGGCCAGTTCCTCCCAGCAGGTGCTGAAGCTGCTGCACGTTTGGATCCTCTGTGGTGGTGGCACGGGGATGGGCAGAACATCACTGTGGAGCATCACTTTGTTCCTGGCAGGATTGACATTCTTGTTTTGGTCATAGTGGGTGCTCTGGAAGGGAATTCTTACATTGCACACGCAGGTGTCCAATGTTGCCTCTTTGATGCTGAGGACATGGCAGCTGAATCATTTGCCTACTTCATGGTCCCACCCCGAGCCCTCAGACTTGGCTGCCTTAAGTTCCAGTTCAGCTGGAAATAGGTCTCTGTGCCCGTAGCTCGTTTTGCTCCCCAAAGGATCAAGCCCAGCCATACTGATTTTTGTACACCCTGACCCTGAGCAAAGCTCAACCCCTGGCAGCCACCTCCTCTGCAGAGCACATGTTGCTCCAGATCTGTGTTTGTGATCCAGTCTCTGGATCTGTAGCCATCCTGGAACAAACCTGATTTCTCTGTACACCTGCCTCTGCTCACTGTGTCCCCAGGTGTGGTTCAGGGGATGATCACTGGGATCCGGGGGCTGTGTAACGGCCTGGGGCCGGCGCTCTATGGGTTTGTCTTCTATCTGTTCCACGTGGAGCTGAATGAAATGGCTGAGGTGGAAACTTTGGGTAAGGCCTCCAAACCCAACATGGCCAACCCTACAGATGAGGTAACTGTTCAGCTTTATCATTCCTTTGCTGGGTTGCGTCTGCCCTTGTGCTTGGGTGCTGATCATTCCTGTTTCTCCCTACAGAGCAGCATTATCCCAGGGCCTCCCTTCCTGTTTGGGGCTTGTTCTGTCCTGCTGTCGCTCCTTGTGGCCTTGTGCATCCCAGAACACAACCTTGCCCTGAGGTCGGGCAGCCACAAGAAGCACAGTAACGGAGCCCAGAGCCACCCGCACAGCCCGCAGGCCGCGGGGGCAGATGGCAAGGAGCCCCTGCTGGAGGACAGCAGCGTGTGAGGCTGGGGCAGGACCTGGCTGGCATCTCCTCCAGACCAAGGACAGACTGAGCCAGCGGGAGTCTGACGAGAGAGGGTGGGGGGAGAGAAGAAAAGAGGTGACAGACTGTACCACAAACAGCTAATGAGGAGGGGTGGTGTTTCCCTGCGAGCCAAATATTCCCAGCTGGTGCAGAAATGGAATTGTGTCATCTGGTGCTGAGGAGAGGGGAGATGCTGAACTGCTCCAAGTGAAGGGATCGTTCTTCGGAGCAAACCTCTGGTACGTGAATCCTGAACATCGTGGTGTGACCTGCCAAGCACTCAACTCAGCAGTGGCAAATCAGGAGCTGGCCTGTCTGCTCTGAGCTGACTGAGCTGCCAGCAGAAACTAAAGCAGGCACCTGCATGTGCCCCTGGCACCACTTGTACCTGCTACCACAACTCAACCAGCCCGGGACTGGCCTGTCCTGGGCTGGGGAAGGCACTGAGCCAGGAGGGCGTGAGGGTGGGAAGAGCAGAGTCCTGCTGCTTGAGAGTCTGAAGAATTTGCCCATTCTGGCCCAAGTGAAACGTAGACCAAAAAAACAAAACAAAACTACTGACTTAATGTTCTGATGAAGATAAGAAAATCCATAGGTGGTGAGTGGAAGGATTTTTCAGAAACCTTTTTCTGGAACTGTAAGGGTTGTACAAAAAATACAGTTCTTGAGACACTGGAGAAATGACTAAACTCTGCTGAGCACTTTATAAAGTGTGTTTCCTGAACAGAGGGGTCCAAGAAATAGCTGCTTATCTTGAGCACTTTTATAAAGCACGTTGATTCTTCCCCAGGCTGTTGCCATCTGATATGAAAACCAGATAATGACTTTACCTTCTTTTTTTATCTGTCCAAAAGATCCTGATGGTGATGACTGCAATTGATTTGAACTTAAAGGTTGAAAAACAGAATTGCAAACTCTGCTGCAGGGTTTGGCTCTGTTCAAAAAGAGCAGCAGATGCTTGAACTTGAGCGTTGTGAAAGAAGCTAAGTCAAATGTATGGGGAATGCCTGGTTGTTTATAGACAGCAGAGGGCAGGAAATTATTGTTCTAGTTTGAGTGAGATCAGTGAGCAGTCATGGGAAAGTAAAGGCCAAACTGGGAACACTTAAGCAGTTTAAGGGAATTGAGGATACAGTGGCCAAAAACAGCCCTGTCTCAGAGCAGGTATGTGCAAAGTTGTCATTCCCTGGCTGGGATCCCTTCTCTGTAAGATTGGGATGAGTAACTTTGGGGAGAAAGGCCAAAGGTGAGAGCACTGCGAGTGTTTTGGGGTGATTGCAACCGCTGTCTGCCTAGACTGGGCGGAACTCTTGATACGGTGTCTGTTTGCCAGTCGTCTGGATCAGTTAGTTGTGGAGGGGGACATTTGAGTGAAATAATTCAGTTTATTTTGTGTTGATCGCGCCTGGGACCAGACCCTGTGGGTTATTGTCTGTGCTGAGGGCAGCCTGAACACTGGGGTTTGCTGGTGTGGAGCTGATTGCAGGATTGAAGAATGGGAGCAGAGAGTCCTGGTGACCTGCGGTGACTCCAGTTTTCCTGAGCTCATTGTGGTGATGCTCCAGATTCCTGAATGATACCAGGATGGGCTGTCCTCTGTGTGCACAGCAACTTCCCAACAGCAATCCCAGCTCTGTGTTGCTCATGAAAATGCCTTTTTTAGAGTGAAGCTTTAGCAGGTACATCTGGCGATTCATTCCCTTACCCTCTGTTCAAATGACCTGAGGGAGGTTTGTCCCTCATGTGCTGATGGTGAAACAAACATCAAGTCGTGACCGGGCTCACTCTGAGGCACTTGGAGCTTCATGGGTAGAACATAGTGGAATGTTACAAGAAAGATGAGCATAATTTATATAATACAAAGTATATAGAGATATATTTTTAAAAGTCCTTTCCTTTATTGAATAGAATATTGAAATTAATGTTTCCCTAGTCCTGTTTGCTGTCATGGCCACTGCTGCCTACAGCATCTCAGCCTCCTTTTCCTCAGAGAGCAGAACCATCCTGGCCAGTCCCCTTGTCATGGCGTGATACCCACGGTTGCCACAGTGCCAACAGCTTTGGCTCCTGAGTACTGAACTTGGAGAGTCTGGGTCCCTTCTCCAGCCCCAGGCTTGGGGCAGGTGGTGCCACAGTCATGGCCGCACTGTCAGGCTCCTGCTGGCGCCGATACCAGGGAGGGTGACCTGACCACGGTCCCTGTGGGGCTGGGACACAGTGTCACCCCAGGCCTGGGAACCTGCTCAGGGCAGGGGGGGGCTCCCTATGGGGCAGGGCTGCTCTCCTGCCCTAGAGCTGTCACTTGTTCTGGTGCCAGGAGCAGGCAGGGATTCCTTTCCACGGTCTTGGAGTTCCTTTCACCTGGTTCAGGGGGCTCAGCCCCAGGTAGCCCCCCTCCCCATCAGTGTAGGGATGTGACCCTCCCACCATTCTGCCTTCAAGTGACAGCAGAGAACTTGGGCCAAGCGGTGACAGAGCTAAAATTACCAGACCCGAATGAAGAATGTCTAATTCTGAAGGGCTGGTAATTCTGCAGCGTCCCACATGGCGACTGGAAAACCTGTATGGAGCACTCAGCTAGTTTTGCCAATTTTTTGTTACTTTATATGAAAACGCAACTTTTTTAAAAGAGCCTTTTCTTAAAATCCTCTTGATCTTCTGGGTAGTGTCTGAGCCTGGCTCTTTTAACATCAGCTTTCCCAGAATTTGTCTGCAGTGACTTGCAATTCAGGTCGGTAACAGCAAAGCCCCCCAGAAACCTGGCTTATCTGCCCTCCTGCAGTTCAGCGTTGGTGGCAGCGCTGCACCTGAGTTTAAACTGATCTTGTCACATCAAAAAACCTGCATTAAAACATTGCTTCTCTTTTGCCATTACTTTTGCGAAACAGTGTCTTTTTAATTCACTGGTTTTTCTCCTTTTCTCCGCACTGGAATGGCTGCTGACCTCTCTGATGATCCTCACCAGGCATGGGTCTGTGACCTGCCTGGCAGCACCACTGCTCTCCAGGTTACCAATGCCTGTGTTTCTGTAGATCTCTTTTTTTAAGCTAACAATGAAATGTATTTATTTCAGTTCAGGTTGTGTTTAGAACTGGCTAATCTCTCCCTCTGATGGATTATTTATTAAACTGCTGCTTTCCTGTTGTGTTGGAGGTCTCTGTCCATGTCCTTCCCTGCTGCCCCCAGCCCCATCTACCCCCACACCAGCACCCACCCCACAGGAGCCTCTTCCTGCAGTTGGTTTTAGCATTCCAGAATCTATTGTCCTCATTTCCAGCCAGGCTTAATTTAGATCTTATCTTACTCATTTAAACACATATTTTGGTGTTAAAGGATAGTACTAAGTGAACAATATAATCACAAGAAATATAAACAGCTCTTAGATGGGAACTGGTGTTTGATGGCCAATATCCTGTCAGGTACTGGAATCAGAGCCATCTCTTGCCCAACAAGTTTTGCCTTTTGTGTCTATTTCCTCTGGACTTGAGCAGTTGTATTTTTTTTTCACCTTTATCAGCTGGTCTCACTTTGCATTGCTGGAGGTAAAAGGGAAGGTGTATCTGTGTGGTTTGTCCTGCCCTCAGTGTTGGCGATTCAGGCAGGTGCAGCCTGGCCCTGCTGTCCTGGGGCTGAGCCATGGGACAGAGCCAGCCTGTGGGACCAGCCTCCCACCCGGGGGATTCCTTTGTTTTGCACCATGCAGAAAACTTTCATCTTGATCCATTTGCCCTCATTAGCCCTGACTTTGGCCCTTTCATTTCTGGTATGGGTGTTACCAAGTGCTGGTGCTGACAGCCTGGGGTGACACCCCGGCCTGAGGGACTGGGTGTCCTGTGCCCGGGCCAGGTTTGTCTTTCCTCACTGAACTGTTTTGCTTCCTGAGAATCACCCAGTGAGAGCCCCTTTCTCTGCCCTGCAGGAGGAGGCACAATCAGCTTCCAGGAAAAATGTTTGGGTTTCTGTTTCTTGAAAGCCCTTGTTCCCTTTGCTCTGACCTGAAGGGTTTCCTGTTGGGTGGAAAACTGTCCCTGTGCCTAAGCTGTGGTTCTTTCCACCCTGTCTGCAAACTGTTGATGTCTGTCATGTTCAGGTCAGGAGAGGGGAAGGTTCTTCATGTCTGTTAAAGGAGAGATCCCAAGTCGGATCATGGAGCCACCTCTCCCGGGAACACTGGAGTCCAATCCCTGATGGGTGCAGCGCTTTGCCCCGGCTCGTGGGCACCAAACTCACCACTCAGTGCTTGCCTAGCAAAGGGCAGGAGGTTGTACCACCCAGCCTGTGCTCTCCTGGGGTTTTGGTTCACCCCTTGCCTGTGGAGGCTCGGGTGAGGAGCCTCGTGCATGGAGAGAAGCCCTGGCACCATGTGCACATCCTTGGGCATCTCTGGCTTGTCCCACGGAGGGCTGGGTCGGGGACTCTGGCAGCCTCTGGAAACTCCGGGAAGTGGCTCCGTTAACACAGGATGGAAGGAACAAAAACCCCAGAGCCATTAATCACCTGGCTTCAGCTGAGTGTGCACATTTGATGGCGCCTGTTTACAGAGCACTTCCTTGCTCTGAGGCCTCTGGACCATCCGATTAATTACCCGGACTCCCAAAAGGATGCGCGACACGCCCATTGCCCGGAGCTGCCTCTCCAGAGAGTTCCCAGATGGGAAAGGGTCAGGTCCTGCGCCGGCTTCCCCCCTCCTGCCACAGCAGATGCAAGGCTGGGCATCCCCTCCTTTGGCCCCTTCCCCAGCCCTGTGGGATGGGTTACAACAGAACTGGGCCCAGCTCTTCTGGGAGCTGGGTTGGAGTGAGGAAGCGATGCCAGAGCTGCTGTGAGGTAGAGGATGGGTGCTGAGGTTGTGCCAGGGCCTTAGGGGTTGATAACATCAACATCTTCCTATACCATGAAACCAACTCTCTCAGGAACCCTCCTTCATCCCTGGAAACATCCAGGTGATGCTGAGCACCAGCCCTGGCCCACTGTAGGGGCCAGGGGCCCAAGATGGTCCCTCCTATAGACAGATGTCCTCAGCCAGACCCACGACAGCTCATTCAGCTGTTGGTGCCAGGGGCTCCGGGGGGGACAGTGGAGCCTGGTAAGAACTCGGGAAGAAACTGGAACTAGCAACATCTTAGGGTGCAGGGCTGCCTGGTGGGGGGGATGGCAAGCCTTTGGGCCCAGGGCTCTCCTGGGGCTGGGGCTGCCAAGCACAGCCCTCAGCTGCAGAGCTGGGTGTTGTGCAAGAGCTAACCTTGGAAAAAAAAACAGAAACCTCCCTCTGGAAATACCCCTTGGGCTGGAAACTGACGGAGGACCAGGGGCCAGTGCTGTCAGGGGCGGTTCCTGCAGAGCTTAAGAAGGGCTGAGGACGGAGCTGGCGGCCAGAAGGAGACAGCCCCGACCAGCAGCGTCTGCTCCTCGAAGGAGGGAAGGAAGAGAAACCAACCTGAGCTGCTGCCGTGCCCCAGCACTGGCTCTGCGGGTGATGGAGTCGGCTCCTCTTCTCCTCCTGCTCCTGGGCTTGCTGCGGGGCGGCAGCGGTGAGTGCGGCGGGGCCAAGAGCCGCCCCGGTCCTTTCGCCCGGCCCCGCCGCTGCGCTCTGTGCTCTGCACAGGACAACGCGGCCCCGGGGTCGCCCCGTCACTGAGCCCCAGTGGCTGCCGTGTCCCTTGTCCTGGTGCTGCAGCCCAGTGCAGCCCGGCCCCCCCCCATGAGCCATCGCTAATGAGC